GAGGACATCCCAAGGCGCTGGACAGAGTACAGCATTTCAGGCCCGAGCTAGGGTCGGGGGGGGGGAGAAGGGAAGGGGAAGAGGGGTGGTTGATGACATGGTCAAAGAGGAGGGTCTTGAGGTGGGATTTGAAGGAGGCTAAGGAGGGGGAGAGGCAGAGCGACTGGAGGATGGAATTCCAGAGGTTGGGGGCAGAGTGGCTGAAGGCGCTCCCGGCAATGGTGGGGCGGGTGGGTCGGGGGACGTGGAGGAGGCCAGAGCCGACTGAGCTGAGGGAATGGGCAGGTTGGTAGGGGGTTAGAAGGTCACAGAGGTAGGGTGGGGTGAGGCCATTGAGGGCTTTGTATGTGAGGACCAGGATCTTGAACTGGATCTTCTGAAGGACAGGGAGCCAATGGAGTCAGGTGAGAGTGGGGGAGATGGGGTGATGGAGTTTGGTGCGGGAGAGGACACGGGCTGCAGAGTTCTGGATTATCTGCAGCCTGTGGAGGGAGGAGTTGGGAAGGCCGACAAGCAGAGCATTTGCATAGTCGAGTCTGGAGGTGATGAAGACATGAACAAGCGTTTCAGTGGCCTGAGGGGTGAGGTAGTGGTGGAGTCGGGCGATGTTATGGAGGTGAGGGAAGGCAGAGCGGGTCATGGCTTGGATGTGGGGAAGAAAAGACAGTTGAGCTTCGAACAAGACACCTAGGTTCCTGACTGGCGGTGAGTTATAGTGTGTGACCATGGAGGTTGATGCTGACAGAGCCTGAGGTGCTGAGGCGCTGGCGCGAGCGAATCAGGAGGGCCTCAGTCTTGTTCACATTCAACTGTAGGGAATTTGCCCTCATCCAAGTCTTGATGTTCAACAGGCAGTCTGTCAGGACAGCAAGTGTGTAAAGTGCTTGGAAATTGATTACAAAATACAAATGCGGCAAAAAATGCGCGTATGTGGTTCTTGATTCACATTGTTAATAGAGTATAGTGAGGATACAAATCAACCCACACCAGTGAGGCCAATTATAGAGTTTCTACCACCAGGATCAATGAGCTCAATACATATCAGCATTGTAATCTGGTATCTTCTCAGTCTGTATGGTTGATTTAGCTTACTGGATGAACTCTTTGAACTAGAGGGAGTCACACATTTTTTTTCTGTGTGCCATTCTCAGGAAATGAAATTCAGTACTAGTGTGTTGACCATCTGGTCTATACTTCTCTCTCCAATTTATTCTGTTTTCTTATGCCACAGTTAGATTGCAGACAGCAATTCGATGTGCTTAATTAACTGAGCTAAGTTTTCCAAGCAATTATTAAATTCGTGCACAGGGAATCAGATAGATAGATGGACAGGGACAATTTACAACAACAACAATTTGCATTTATATAGTGCCTTTCATGTCAGGAGGACGGGGGGAGCTGGATTTGGGAAGCGTAGAGGCCAAAGTGGGGTTGGGATGAGAAGATGACTAATGATGCAGTCAAAGAGGGAGTTCTTGAACTGGATCAGTAGCAAAATAGCAAATTTAGTAGTGAACTTTTTCAGGCTTCTCAATTTTACTTTGAATCCAGAATTAAAACTTTTTAATTCAAGTTTAGATGATCTAGCCTTTAGTACTACTGAATGGATGAAGTATGTGTTAAAATTATATGACATACAGTACAACTGATTGTTTTGCTTCTACTACGTGCCTCTATTAATGAATTTAATTCCTTTCCCCCAGTAAATCTTTAGTTGAGCCATCAGAAACCCCCAGCTCATAACTGATTCCCTGTTTGAGGAATCACAATACAGTGGCAATGGAAGCAGGTTGTATTACGTTGGGGGGGGGGGTGGGTGCAGGCTAGAAGATCCAATGAAATGTTAGGGGAGCAGAAGTATGTTTATGTATGTAACTACTGTAAGACTTCCTCACAAACTTTAGTCATGATGTTAATGTTCAGAGTCACTGTCATTGTCAATGGTGCCTTGCCTTACCCACTCCTTCGCTTTGTTGCTACTTTCACACCGCTCATACCTTTTATTTGCCCACCTTTAATCCAGGTCTGATTGACAGCAACCTGGCCCAATGCTCACTTCCGGTTGCATTGAATTATGCCTCGTGCAGTGTAGGTCTCTGACCTACTATCCCCCTACTTACCTGCCCATACCCTCCGTTCCTCTGACTCCGGTCTGCTCCACATTCCCCGCCCCAACCGCCCTACCATCGGTGGTTGGGCCTTCAGCCTCTCAGCCCCTAGGCTCTGGAACTCCATCCCCCAGTGCCTTCGTCTTGCTTCCTCCCTTTCCTCCTTCAAGGCTGGTCTCAAGACCTTTCTCTTTGACTGAGCCTTCAGCTCCTCTCTCAACTCTCTATCCCCTCCTCGCCCCCTCCCATCCCTCCCCTCACCCTGACCATTTCCCCCCGCTTGAGTCCTGACCCAACTGTATGGCGCCTTGGGACGTCCTCCCGACGTGAAAGGTGCTCTATAAATGGAATCTTGTTGTTGTTGTAGGTCATTGATTAAATCAGATTTTGTACAATTTATACAAGTTGACCTGCAACTCAGACTTTGCGTAAATCATATTAAAAGTTATTATAACTTATGGTCCCGACTAATACGATTTATGTGAGTTTTACTGTAATTCAGCATTAATCGAATTTTTGATCTTATTGCGATCAATTTTAATTAATTGGAACTCTTGGGAACTTGGTTCTTACTTGTGAATTTCAGATGTTGTTTGTGCCAAATATTGAATGTTTTTTATATTCTTCGAAGTAAATCAGTGTAAATATTTAATAGAACCTTTAGCTTAATTGTCAACAAAAGCCCTAATCAGAAATGCTTGAGTATAAGGTTGATAATACTTGTGGAAACTGTGGCAGGTGGAGGTATATTATAGTTTGATTTTAGTGTTGTACTGTGCAAATATTAGGCAACAGTATTCAGGAAGTAAACAGCAAAGCCGTGTCTCCCCTTTTTTATGATTCCAATAGTCTCCAAGGTCTTTTTCCCCTTTGGAAATTTACAGCCTAGATGAAGAGTGCCAGCAGTGATTTGTTTCTGCACTTTGAAGCTATATCACTTCTGTTTGGCATCTTTAGTGCTGACTTTAGAGAAAATAAAATAAGCCATTTGCAAGCATACTAAGTGGTTAGTAAAGTCAGCTGCTGGATCCAACAAAATGGATTAAGACCAAATCTAAGATAAGCCTTGAGCCACAAAATGTTAATTTTGTTACCTGAATCCCATGGCATTAGGTATTGTATTACACACTAAAAACCAGATTGTTCAATTGAAAGAGTAATGAGACTACATTTCAGTCTACACTACGTGTATCACCTAGCAAAGCAGCTTAACAAGTATGAAGAAAAATTATTAATAATATTTAGTATTTTCTTAATATATTTTAAAAATAGTTGATGCCAACTCTTACATTACGTCACTAAACCTTAACCTAACTCTGCAACACAGCTTCTTATTCATGACTGTCCATCTCTAACTTTCATTAGTTAATGAATTATGTTCCATAAATAAAAAGTAATTCAACCTGCAATAATCTTAGAATTTCCTTGGTATTTAATATTTCCAGCAGTTTCAATTATTTCTGTGAACTAAAAGCAGCGAAGGTTGAAATGATTTGTTTGAATAGGGTTGTATATGAATACGGTTTCAGAATTCACTGACTTAAGAATTGAGGCAGTTTTTGTTTCACTGGATGGATATTGGTTAATGATTTAATGTATTCTTCCACCTGACATTTTTGGCCTTACCATCTCCTCTGATCTCAAATGGAAATCTCACAGCTCCTCCATTTCCAAAGTAACCTCCAAGATAAGAATAACAATAATAATAATAATATTCCTTGCATTTACAGGTACAGAGCTTTATCACATGTCTCAAAATAACAAAATGTCTCAAAGCGCTTCACATGATTTAGTGTAAAATGTAGCAACGGTGTATTTGTCAGCGAACAAAATGGCCAATTTACACACAGGAATATTTCACAGACAGTTATGAAGTAAATGGCCAAACTTATCTGGGAGATTGTTGGCCAGGAAACCAGGAGATACCCCCTTCACATTTTGGGTAGTGCCACAGGATCATAATGTCCACCTGAACAGACATTTGGAACCTCGATTTAATGTCTCACCTGAAGAATGGCATCTCTGACACTGCGTTGGAGTGCTAGGGCTGTACCAATGCTTGGTTTCCTCTTTGGCACCAAACATTTTTTTTCCCCTGAACAACTTTTCGCACTCCAAGAAACTTAAGTTACACAGACTTTGAAAACTGCATTTGTTTCTAGGAAAGCTCTTCCAGTACTTCTCTCTCACTCTTGGTCAGGGTACAATAAAAGGACTATTGGGATTCACAGCGTGGTGCTCTGTTGACAAATGAGAAGTCAGTGCATTAAAAGCGACCTCTGTATCAAATTCATTGAAAGAAATTGGGAAAATCCTGAATGCTGGCAAAGGCCAATTTACAGCTGGCTTTTTGTTTTCTGATCGTTTGTCAGACTTTTCATGCCTTTACTTGACTGAAAACAAAAGACTATCCTAAAATATAAGGTTGCACAGGACTGTGAAAAAAATATTAAATCCAGTCTTAAATTGGGAATTAAGAATTGGAGGAAACCCAGCTTCCAAATTATGGCTGAATTTAAGAATTTTCCACAATTCTGCACTCTGTTACGCTTTAAGAAGGTTTCAGATACAATAATCCTACGAGGTAAGACTGAGTGTAATTTCAGACTTCCTGTGCCTCAAATCTGCTGAATCGCAAAAGCATTGACAATTAATTTCTCCGCTCCTCCGCACCTCAAAGTAAATCTACATCTGAAGCACATTACTATTGTACTTTCACAAATGATACTTGTCTGTCACGGTGCTGAAAATGCCAAAGAAACCTTTTCTTCAAGTAGTGGAAAATGTCACGCAGACTTTTCAAAGGTCTTTTTGATATGCAGTGTATTAGAGCGTTTTAATTATGTGGACAGGCAATGCTAATGAATCCCATAAACAATTTTCTTCTTCCAGAGGTGGTTCAGCTGAGCCTGGCAGAAGATCAGAAAGTGATTGTCACCACAGCAACGGTGGGGCAGAGTGCCGTCTTGACATGTTCCATTCAGGGAACCTTGAGGCCTCCAATAATCTGGAAACGCAACAACATTATTCTCAACAATCTGGATCTTGAAGACATAAGTGTAAGTAATGAAATCAGCGCAAGATATTACCTCTCTGCTTTGTCTGTTAATGCTCAACAATTGAGAACTGAATTTTACATTGAATTAGATATTGTCCATTCATTCATTTCCAATCCCAGTTATCTGACCACGATAGTTGTATTGTGGGTTTGTTTAGTGAACATAATAATCTGAAACACTGTGTGTTAATTTGTACATGGATTGATTGATTTACAATATTGATTTCCAATAGATAGCACGTAGACAAAGTACCTTATTAGTATTTAGTGGGACACTCTGACCAAAACAAAAGATAAGGAAAAGGATAGAAATCCAACATACAACAAACAATCCTAGTTGTTTACTCCACTAAAATAGAGAGTGGAAATAGGGCAGTAGAAGTAAAAAGGAAGTAACAGCTTTCAAAGTTGAAACAAAATGGAAGAAAAGGTTAGTAAAAGAATTAAAATATACTGGTGAGAAAGAGCGGGAGGAAACAATTTGTGAATAGTCCAGCCTCTGCTCTTCTGATTCTTGTTTACAGTTCATGTTTCCCTCGGTCTAAGCTTTCAGTCTCTGCTGCCCTATCCCTAGGAACTCTGATTCAATCATGTGCCTTGCTAACACACTCTCAGCTTTCGTAAATCTCCTGAAAACATCTCTTTCACTTTGCCAAGGATCACCTTAAAATTTCTCCAACCTTTGCTCAGAGTCCAATGGTCACATTGTTTTGAGGCTTCCTCTTATCTGAACAATTCTATACAACTACAAGTTTTCTCATAATAATAAACCTTGTATTTGATATAGCCCTATCACGTCTTCAAGAAGTCTCAAAGCACTTCACAGAATATACTGTAAAGTGAATTGACTATATTTTGTGGGCGAAACTCATGAATTGCTCAGGAATTGCTTCACAAACTTAATAGTCACAAATGTATTACAAAAGCTACAATGAGAACTTCATGCTGGATTACTGTGATATTGATATCAGCAATATAATTTGTTAACGCATCCCATCCTATGTATTTGTTTAGCTGTAAAAAAAAGTGTGCTTTCTTATAATGTCACTTGATAATAATAATCCTTGTATTTGATATAGCGCCTTCTCACATCATTGAGACACCTCAAAGCGCTTCACAGGATATATTGTAAAGTGGATTGAATGTGTATTTTGTGGACGAAATGTGGCAGTCGTTGCGCATGGCCATGTCCCGCAGACAGCCGTGGAATGAGCAACCAATTTTATGTTGGCCAGGACACTTCCCAATACAGCAAGATGTCGCACTCAACTGCCAAATCTTTCCGGGAACCTATTTGAAATCCTTAGTCGTATTGACCCATTGCTTTATTCATGTCAAAAGTGATTAAGTAACGGTGATTGCATGATCCTCGGATATTAATGTCAATCCCATTGCTTTAGTCCATTCAGTATCACAGGCTTTCAAGTGTTAACAAGACAGTTTACATTTAAGCACACCAAAGCATAAAATCTGCTTTATGCACATTTTCAATCTTCAGTTCAATATCACATCCACACTGAAGACATTTTTATTATCTGATGCCCTCACTAACTTCATTTCAAATAATTACTCTAGAATATCTATCTAAATATCGGATCCACACAACATTGAATTGGCTGATAAAATTGGCATGATTTTCTAGAAGCATTGGATATACTTTGATTTTTGCTCTGGAGAAGAAGCAAGCAAAGGTTTGTCAATCTAATTAGGGCAGGTCTAAATCCCTCTATTGTTCAAAATATAATAAATGTAATACTGCACCAGTCAAGGCAGAAACTTGATGTTGATTCAGAGACGATGAAAAGTAAAGTTCCCATTCAGAACTTCTAATTTGTTTCCACTGAAGCGTGTAAGTCTATCAGTAATGGTCGCAAACTTATTAATGAAGCTATAGTGAGTGGTACAGACAGGCTTCAAGATGGATCAGATCATGACGATATTGATATCAGCAATATAATTAGTTTAACCCACTCTATCCACCCCATACACTCACTTATGTTGCCTCTGACTTGTCAGTGGCAGAACAAATGTTGCAGTTTATGTACAACCAAAGCACTCTATCACCACTTTGTGTGGCAGGCAGATATTTATATATTGTAGCACTGATCACGTATTGCCTATGCTGCCTGACAATGTCACTCCATTGCTGCGTGTATGATCTTCATACTTCGTAACTTTTATGCAGCTGTTTGGGCAAAGATGGTTTGTGTGAAGTTAGCAACAACAACAAGTTACTCTTGAATAGCGTCCTTCACATCGGAAAGACGTCCCAGGGCACTATACAAGAAGGGGTAGGGGGAGTTGGTGGCTCGCACCATGACGGTGACTTGACAGAAGAGGGGAAAAGTTGCAGTTAATGTCAAGCACAGCACCTCTGTGAAATCCCATCAGTGGTCGACATCAGAAAGGAAAGAGATCCATTCAAGCAGAGAGCTGGTCTCCACATTAAACAAAGCGAAGCAGTAGCATGGAGATCAGCGCCCAGGTTCAGCGAGCCCCACTCACCGGTTTTGTGTGATGTTAACAGAAGGGGTAGGGGGAGCTGGTGGTGTAAACTGAACACAGACAGAGAAATAATAACTGTAATGCTTATTTTGCACAGAAGCAGAACCAATAGCAATAAAATGATCAAGAAATGGGCTGAGATGTAACTGCCCAATTTGGAATGCTGATATTTATTACAAGACCTTGAATATAAAAGTAAGGAGGGCCTTCTCCAGTTATTTGCATTATTGTGTACTTGGATATACCACCTTGGAGAGAGTCTAATAGCAGTTCCCTAAATTAAAACTTGAAGGGGTTTAGCAATAATGAGAAGCCGGGTAGACTGAGGTTATATTCCTCAGAATACAGGAGGTTAAGTCGTGACTTGATTGATGTATTTACAATAATGAAAGGAATTGACAGGTTGCAAAGTGAGTGACTCTTCCCTCTGGCAGAGAGACAAGGGAGAAAAGCCAAGATGACTTCAAATCAGAACCAAGAAAATAAAACCAAGGTTGGGAGGCAATTCTTCATCCATGGGTGATGAAGTTGTGGAACTCTATGCCCCAGAAAGCTGCAGAGGCAGAATCAATAGGGATACTTGAAAGGTAGATGGATAGTTGGGTAAAGATATTGTGGGCTAGGCTGAAAGGACAGGACATTGGGATTAAAAGATCTGCCAAGATCTAATAAACTGCTGGGACTAGCTTGATGGGCTGAATCGCTACCTGCTTCTGTTTTCCTAGAACTGAGGTTGGCATCCAAGCAGAGTTCTAGAGGATTAACCATAACACTTCCACTGTAACACTAAAGTAATATTCCTTTTTATAACTCCTGTAATTTAAAACTCCAGTATTATGGTGTTGGGGATTTTATCATACCTTAACCTTTGGGGAAGAATTCCAGTGAGTATTATACCTATCACTTTTGTGATGTCAACCATTAGTGGAGTCCTGTAGCTCAGTGGTTAGAGCACTCGCTTTGCAAGCGAGAGACCTGAGTTCAATTCCAGGCAGGGCGAAACCTTGGGCAAGTTTCCTTACTCCTCACGCCTAATAATAATCCCTCCAAAACAAAAAACAATAATAAATTGGTCATTTTCAATCTACGACTGTTTGTGGGACATTGCTGTGCGCAATTGGCTGCCGCTTTCGCCCACAAATATACAGTCAATTCACTTTACAGTGTGTTCTGTGAAGCGCTTTGGGACGTCCTCCCGACGTGAAAAGCGCTATATCAAATGCAAGGATTATTATTATTATTATTATTATTATAGTGGGATTTCCCAAAGGCAGAGTGTGTAGTGCTCAGTGCAATTTTACCAGATTTTTGTCAAATCACTATTGTAGTGAGAACCACCTCCCCCCACACAACACACACATTTGCCAATTTTACACAAACTTTCTCATTCAATTTTACCCAAATAGTTGCACAAAAGTTGTTTATTTAGTCTAAAGTACTCATTGCAAACAAAATTCACTGGGCTATTCACTACAGCCAGTTATTGTATGGGATTATCAAATCAATGGTGAAACTGCAGAATCAGTATCTTTGATGCAATTATGCACATTAAAAACATAAGAATTTGCTAGGCAAAAGAAGACCAAGGTCCATCTCGTTCACCTTCCACCATCCTGACAGTCAGTTGACATGTCGTGTCCCAAACTATATCCTGTATTCTGAGATATTATTCTCCAGCAGAAATCTATCTAATTCGTTCTTGAAACAAATGATATTTTCTGCTTCCACCGTCTCCCTAGGGAGACTGTTCCATAAGTTTACTACTCACTCACTGAAGTAATGTTTCCGCAGATTTGTTCCGAATTTACCCACCTTCAATCGCAGGCAGTGTCCTCTGGTTCTACTGTTCAGTACAAGATAAAACAGCTTATCATGGTCTAAATTATCTTTTCCCTTCAGAATCTTAAAGACCGTTATCATATTAACCCTCAACCTCCTCTTCTCCAGTGTGAACATGCCCAGTTTATCGAATCGCTCATCGTAGTCCCATCCCTCGATCCCCTCAATTATTTTAGTTGCCCTCCTCTGTATCCTCTCAATCACTGCAATATCCTTTTTATATTGCGGTGACCAAAACTGTACACTGTATTCCAAATGGGGTCGCACCAGTGATTTATAAAGTGGCAGGATTGCCCCAATATTTCAGCTCAATATTGCTCTTTTAATACAGCCTAGCATCTGGTTTGCCTTACTCACGGCTACCGAGCACTGTTGGGATAGCTTCAATTTATTGTCAATCAGGATCCCCAGATCCTTTTCATTTTCCGTACAGATTATTTTCTTACCATTTAAATAACAACAACAACTTGGATTTATATAGCATCGTCCACGTCGGACGGTGTTTCAAAGCACTTCACAGTTGCAGATCCCGGGGCCAAGCCAAGGGAGGGGAGGAAGCTGACCAAAGGCACGGTCAAAAAGAAAGGTCTTCAGCTGAGACCTGAAAGTGGGAAGAGAGGGGATGAGGCAAAGGGAGTGAGAAAGGGAGTTCCAGAG